CTCGGCTTAAATTTTTTTCCATATTGTAATATGGCTTAATGAATTTCCATAAATATGCTATTTAAAAAAGGATCTAACCCATTCTTGTAATGGATCGTTGATGAACACTTATTGATAATTAATCACGTGATACTATTTTATCGAATTCAATTTTTTTATATAGAATAATGATGTTGCAATCTGAAGCTTCATTGATTTTACTGTTAGCGCTATTTATTTTCGATGTATAGACTTGTGGTTCTATCAAAAGTTGTAGCAAAAAAATTTATTTAATTCTTTATATGAATTTGTCGTTTTAGAAATGAATAAAGAATCCCAGAATCCATGTCAGTTCCTACCTATAAATATACCTAACCATCAAAATATTTTACATACATAATTCTATAAGAATTTCAAAACATTCTCCATAACTGTATAAACAACAAAGACTGAAATTGTTCAGTAAAGCTAAATTTTCCACTTGTAATAATGTCATAATAGTTCGCCTATTGTACTGAAAATCCTTATAACTTACACTATTTGTTAAAGGGATTTCCAATTTAAAAGAAAATATTTTGTAAATGGAATGTTATATTAGTTGTCGTTTGCTATTAATCAAGTTACAAAGTTAAAAATATTATCCAAACTTCACATTTCAATACCTTTGACTTAATGCGACAAGTGATTAATGTTGTATTTGAAAATTTTAATACTAATTATATAATTTCAAAAATTGAATTATGTTTATTGCAAAAAATATTTGAATATTCTATTTTCAAACGGAAACACTATTTGAATATGGTTTAATATATTTCTTTGAAAATTTATTTATTCTAATGTGGCTTTTGCATAAATTCTAGCAGTTACCTATAAACTGTTGGATAACCATTCCAACATTTTAAAAACGAAAAAAAATGTCAATAAGCTAGAATTATTATACTTAGCTAAATGTATGTATTGTATATATCAGGAATGATATTTTCTACGACCTAGTGAAATTTCTTAACTAAACAAATATGTTCCTTAATTCCATACTTTGATTTAATTATATAAAAGCGAACAAAATTTCACGTAAACAACTTCACAGACAGTATATTTCAATATCAAAAAAGCAAAAGTGAATTGTTTAATTTGCAAATATATTCTTGAGAATAAATTATACGAAAACAATTTTCATAACGTTCGTTTTGTTGAATTTATTGGCATGTTCAATTCAATTGAATCACTCAATTGAATACTTTGTTAGTACTTTTTATTCCAATATTAAATAATAGTTCATAGCAAAAAGAAATGTGAACTAGTATAAAATATGTATATAACAGGTTTGGTTTTACATTCACAATTCGAGATACTTGTATTTATAAGTAAGCATTATGAAAATGTAGTAATCATTTTAACGAGTGATAACTCTGAAATGAAATAACGATAAAAAACTGCTTTCAAATTTCCCAAGATATTTTATTGCCATTTCTATAAAATTTAACGCAGGGTTCACCTTTTTTTTAAAAAAAAAAATAATTTCTTGTTAAATCAAATTTTTAAATCAATATGTGATTATATGGATGTGTTGCTTATTTTGACAAAATTTAATTTACCTGGCATATTTTAATTAATTTAGTTTATTTATGCAACGCAAATATAACAATCGAATAAATGTAATTGTTGTTCTACCCTTGTTAACAAATTCTTTAAGAATTTATAAATGCACTTTTCTCAAGCGTTTTCGTATTATTTCTCAATCATTTCCACGAATTTTTTAGTCAACATTTTTTTTCAAGAACGATGGAAAATTCTAGTGTCAAAGTGGAAATGAAATACTTAATAAAGGTTTAAAATTTTCGATAATGAAATTAAGTATTTGGAATGTACGCGAAAGATTATTTATTTCCTTTTTAAGACTGAATTAAAAAATTAATTTAGCTTTAGATTTTTCTACGCATTTTATGTTACTTTGTTTAATTATTTTATGAAAAATCAATTTATTAATAAATAAAGCTCTAATTTAATTAAGTTCACAAGATCTCATTCGGCTGAAATATTAGCAATGTTCGAATGTAGCAAAAGTAACTCGAATATCATTATTTAAAAAATATATTTTCATAGATGCGTTCTTTTAAGTTGATGTATATTTAATCGAGATTTGCAATCATGGAATGATATAAATTAACAATCCGTTCAAGTTCTTTTGTATATTGTTGAATGAATTTTCAATTAACTTAATTTAGCAATTCTATATTATGCATATATGAGAGGATTGTTATTAAAATTACGTTTACGGATCATATGATTTACTATGTTCGCAACTTGATTTAAATAAAATCTCCCATATTTATATTTACAATAATAATCATAATAAACTTTTTTAACTTTATTCTTGTCTTTGTATTGAATTATAAATAGTTAAGAATCTCGTTTAATTCGAGTAAATTTTTCCTTTTCTTTCTTTGAAAAATATTTATCCTCAAAAACTTCCGGAACTTTTGGATGCTTTTTGAAAACGGAATGTTTTAAAGTAGGAACAAGGTTATTCGCTACCCGGTTGGCACGTAAACAATTTGAGGCTTGTCAATAGGAACGTACCGTATATCATAATAAATAAGATGGTGCGTTTTTATTGACGAAGCCACAAGTGTGGCCAAGCATTATGAATATTTAATAAAAAAAAAAAGCAATTAAGCATTGTGAACAAATTTTGGACGATAATAGGGTCGAATCTTTAAAACCCGATTTGCACATTTATGTTAATTGAGACGCAATTTGCATGCGGCGTAGTTTACAATGGAAAAGAAAATTTATTTTTGATTCAATTTCTCATCAGTCGTTTTTAGAAATCTATAATATTATAATATTAGCATAACAATTTGGTTACTAAATCCGACACATTTCAACCTGAAATCAGTAAAATTGATTTTTTCCCGGCAGAAATTAAATATGAGAAGTTATATAAAAGAAGTATTTATCAAATTCTATAAATGCAAATTCTCATAAGTTTCCAACAGAAACTTGAATCTTGATCACAAAATTTTTACACAATGAATTATAAACTTCGATTCCATGGGAGAGTGCATCACTAAATAACTTAATAATCCTACATGGAGCCGACAAATCGAGGATTAGCGTCCGAGTATGAAATATCAATGCTCGATGTATACATACATAATATTCATAATATTACAAAACCATGGATGGTCTTGGTATAAAAAGAGATAATGAATTCGGTCCGTTCTTTATAAAAAAAAAAAAAATTTTTTACGAGACAGCCGATAATATCGACTTTCCTCGCATTTATTATGGTAAAAAAATTGTACGATCTCCCCTTCGTATTCTGGAGGTTGAGAATTGTCGTGTTCAGCAATCAATCTTACCGCTTTCATGAGTTTCTATTTTTATGCTACTAACAAACCCATGGATCTTCCAAGAATATATTTATTCTTTGTTTTCACTTGTTTACTATTTTGCAGTTATGCAAATGGAGAATGTAATAATGTTAATGATTGGAGGTAAAAAAAAAAACGGAGCATCACAGACTTCTATACACATTTCAATACGGCGATATCCCTTTTAAGCTGACTAATTATCTATAGCTCTCGCTTTAATGTTTTAGCTTTCTGTTAATGTGTGAACTTCTTCCGTATAGCATGCCTTGCAGCACGTCTTCACTTAAAATTCATGTGATATCTAAGGTAGAAAGTACATTAGCGTTTGAATGGCGCTCACAGCCTTAACAATGATAATGTCATTGGTACGAAAGTTTTAGATAACTCGATATCCCGTTGCAAGATAAAAGTCAAGATTTCAACAAATTAGCTGCCCTATCCCTTCTTTCAATGGTCAAATATGCTATCCTCAGCACACATGTCCTCGTCGAAAATGTGGAGGTGTTTTCGGAAGTATTGGTACGTCGCAGAAGGAGAGGTTCTCGTGATACGGATCAATCAAAAAGCAGAATAATTTTCCAAACAGAATTTAAGTAAGTTATATGAAACCGTAAAGCTTGCCAAACTTTATTTGTAAATAATTTTAGTCGGATTTCAACATTTTACATATCTTAATGCTATAAAGCTTCAATCGATTTATGCTTTGGCAATCTACTTTTGCGAGATGGCAAGGAAAATTTATTTTATCGATTATCAAATTTGTAATTTGGAATGTTTATTTTGTAATAAGACAAAAATTATTAAAGACATTCTAACAATAAAGAATTATCTCAAGAATATTTATAAGAACTTCATTTTATTTTCGCAAATTCTATCAATATTATTTTTTTTAACAAATAAACACATAGATACAACGTAAAAATCTCTCAATATCATAAAAGTTTGCATCTTTAATTCCCAAAAAAAATATGCTTCGCATTGAAATGGATCGTTAAACTCTAACCGAGAGGTAATAATTGAATTGAAAATTTTATTAAAGGAAGTTCATTTTTTATTTTTTATTTTTAGATCATCGGAAAGTCAAATTTCTTTGGTGTGTGCGAATTTATAATCAAATATAAGAAAAGTAATCTCGAGAGATATATTCGAATATCCTAATAAGATTTATGAACGGATATTCATATATAAATACTTTTTTCGAACGGAGACTTCTAAATTAGTCATACCCAGTTAAAAAGTTTATAAAACGAAAGAAATATGATTTTCTTTTAACGTTAAGGACCAAAAACAAAAATTTTGATCGCTAAAACGAAAGTTTCTACAAACGAAAGAAGCTTTGTATTATAGTATATAAATATAAAGTATGAAATTAATCATTCGCTATATGGACTTTTGCAAAATTTGGAGTTAATGCTAAATCTGGATATACCGGGAGGACAAAAGTATTGCACGCTTTTATTTTTTCAATAATTTTTTATTTTTTACAGAAACATACAATTTTTTTTTATTTT